AAGTAGAAGTAGCAGTAGAAGTAGAAGTAGAAGTAGTAGTAGTAGTAGTAGTAGTTGTAGTAGTAGGAGTAGGAGTAGGAGTAGGAGTAGGAGTAGGAGTAGTAGGAGTAGGAGTAGTAGGACTAGTAGGAGGAGTAGTAGTAGTAGTAGTAGTAGCAGTAGTATTAGAAGTAGCAGTAGAAGTAGAAGTAATAGTAGTAGTAGTAGTAGTAGTAGTAGTAGGAGTAGGAGTAGCAGTAGCAGTAGCAGTAGCAGTAGCAGTACCAGTAGCAGTACCAGTAGCAGTAGTAGTGGTGGTGGTGGTAGTAGTAGTAGTAGTAGTAGTAGTACTAGTAGTAGCAGCAGTAGTAGCAGCAACAGTAGTAGTTGTCGTCGTCGTCGTAGTAGTAGTAGTAGTAGGAGTAGGAGTAGGAGTAGGAGTAGGAGTAGGAGTAGGAGCAGGAGCAGGAGCAGGAGGAGCAGGAGCAGGAGTAGTGGTAGGAGGTCTAGTAGTAGCAGCAGTGGCAGTCGGCGACGACTACTGCTACGAGTACTTGTACTAGTACTAGCATTAGTACTAGGTGGTGTAGCAGTGCTGGTTGTCGCACGTAGGGAGCAGTGGATGTTAAGATTATCTATCTGCTCGGGATGTTCCTACGATTTGACAGCAACAAGCAGAATGAGACACAAGGCACATGCGTGGGTCTACTGAGTCCGAATGGCCTGTACTTGGAAGGGAGCAGTCCGCACAGCAGCTTTTTCGGAAGCCTAATCTGTGCAGCCGATGTCATTCTGTGGACTGCGAGCACCGCTACAGTTTTGTGCTTGTCGTCGTGCACGCAGGCTCTCAAACATCGTTTCTACCCATTTGCACCGGGCGTTGCTCCAGAAGAGCTGGAGCAACTCCTCCTGATACATGCATTCGAGGACCCTGTGCAAGTGCTGGACACTCCCCTTTTGCAAAGAAGGAGGCGCATCCCTCGCAGGATCTCCTGGCAAAGGCGCAGCCGGAACGAAGTTGGCCGGGCCCTCAATTCACCTTTTTCTTTGGCCCAACTGGGCCAGCGACTCGGTGCGATGACAAAAAACTTCTATGTTTTCACCGGACCCCAAAGCCCCTCGTTCTCTGAGGTGCTTGCGCCCAAGCATGCATCAACACAGCCCGAAAGGCATCCCGAAGACCTGAGCCAATGTCCTGTATGTATGCATGTACATATACACATAGGCCGAGACCGTGCATCTTCGAGGTGCTGCGCCGACAGGATCTGGCGGGAGCAGATCCCTTCAAGCCTGCTGGGTCAAACCCTGGAGGCTTGTCGAGATTCCCGGGGACGGATGCTTCGAAGTTAGAGGCTGTATAATCTCAATGGGCTCTCGTAGGGTATTGAGATTCGTCGGCTTGTGTCCGCATCTTCAGCATCAACAGAGGCATGTGTGTGTGTGTGTGCGTGTGTGTGTGTGTGTTTGTTTGTTTGTGTTTGTGTCTGTCTGCCTGCCTGCCTGCCTGCCTGCCTGCCTGGCTGTCAGTGTCTGTCTGTCTGTCTGTCTGTCTTTCTGTCTGTCTGCACACCGCCTGGCTGGCTGGCTGGCTGTCTGCCTGTCTGCCCACCTGCCTGCCTGGCTGGCTGGCTCACTGTCTGTGTCTGTTTGTCTGTCTGTCTGTCTGTGTTTGCGTGTGTGTGAGGGTAAGAGTGAGAGTGAGTGAGCGACTGTGTTTGCTCTTTACATACGCACAGTAAATCGAGATAAACAGCCACTGGGTCAGCACCTCGTTCACTCAGGGTCATGCATTCCAGTCTCGGGTAAGCCGGATAGTCTGTCGTGATCCCGTTGTCCTCGACGCATGCGATGCTGGTGATTGGTTGGGATGCATGGTGGGTATTGAAGCTGGAACAGTGGAGTTTCGCATTCCGGAATGACAGCTGGCAGTATCGACCGATCAACAGTGCCGACGGGTTAAATTTGGCAGGTTTTCGATCGCGGTCATGCCTCATCAACCAGCAAGTTTTTCCAAAGAGTGTGGTTAGGAGACAGCTACAGGAGTTAATGGACATATACAATCATGTACACATGTTTCGGTTTCACTCGCGACGATCTCCAGCGTGCATGAATGAGAACATGTGCCGGCTCATGTAGCGTGTGTGTGTGTGTGTTGCAAGCCCTCATGTGAAGGGTACCACATTGGACTTGCGAGGTTTCTGAGTTCACTCATTCAAACCGATCGTGGTCGTGTTGTGTATTGCCACAAGCATCAAACCAGTTTTTCTCCGCAGGGAGTACCTGGGGAAGGATGGGTCAGGTGCCAACGAAGACAGCCATCCCGATCTGTGATCTAGGAGTGGGACGCCACTCTTACGTTATACCTGCATGTGTAGCCATCGATTGAGATTGCAACGTCACGTTATTCCATGAACCATCGGTTGAGAGTGCGACGTCATGTGATTCCATGGACAATCGATTGAGATTGCGACGTCACGTGATTCCATGAACCAATGATTGAGATTGCGGATGTTTCGTGATTTCCACGTCAGGTTGACTCCAACTCAAGTAAATGTGTGTTTGTTTGTTTTCTACATGCGCAGAAGTAATCGAGATGAATGGCCACTGGTGGGTCAGCACCTCGTTCAGGCCGCTCTGCGCTCCGAGCCCTTCGCGGATGCCGCATACCTACCGCGGCATGATGCACTGCTCCTGGCGCTGCACCATAGGCCGCAGGGACTTGGGCAGTCTCGTCCAAGCCTCCACATGACTGTCTCTGGCCTTAGGGGCCCAAGGTCTTACAAGTACCTCAGCCTCAACAGACTTGTGCCCTGACTCCCGTTTGGAACTGTCTGGGCCAGGGCTGCTCCTGGACGTGTTCTTTGGCATGCCTGGCAAGGGGATCTCCTTGCCGACCCACAGGATATCATTAGGGTCATTAGGGCAGCTTCCGATCTTGTATTGTGCTGCGGCAGTCGTTGGTCTTGTTCTTCGCTGTTACGGAGTAGTACTGGCCTTGAGACGTAGACGAGGACACGGTGTCGGAAGAGCCTCCGTCCCTATTGCAAAACACATCAAGCTGCGTCTTGCCGAGAACTGTAATCTGTAACACAACTCCATTCTCCCATCCGACTCGTCAGCAACGGTGGATCCAAAAAACGGCGGCTTGAAGCCGGTATCATATGCCGCGTATTCGGAGAAGAAGTCGTAGAAGCAACGGTGGGCATGTGCCACGATGAGCTCTGGTGCACATAAAGGCTTTCAGCTTGGCCCGGCAATCCCACTGTATGTTGCGGCGTGAGTTTGTTAAGGGCGTGAGTCGCGATTTCAACCTATAGCACGGGATCCATTGCGCCACAAGGCAATCGGATTCGTTTCTACACCCGGAGTCCTATACCCTAGATCTCATTCGTCCTCACGTCCGTGACTTCTTAAAGCCTGCTCTGCAGGACGCCAAATGGCAGTGTGAGCCTCGGTACATACATGACGGACGCTGGATGTCGAGGACATACAATGTACAGTAGAAGCCCAAAAGTTGGAAACCCAATAGCCTCAATCCTAAAGAGTAATGTATAGGGAATCCCAGCACTATTTGACCTTAATCCGGTTTCCAACTTTTTGGGGTTTACGGTAGGTGCAACCTACAGTTAAGCCATCAATCACAGACCCTGACCTTGTGGCCGTGCATGAATGGAAGCAGAACCGAGCGCACAAAGCTTCAGTTTTGATAGATCTTGAAATCTGTGCAACGGCCAGTCGCCTCGGACCTATCAGAGGGTTTCAATGCAGTTCAATGAGCGGTCTAGGTCAGTTCCGGAGCTTGCACACCTGCCATCAAGACGATGACCCCGTGCACCATGCTCGTCAGGACATGTCTTCCGGAACCAAGAAGCACTCTCCTGTTGAGGTCTTCTGTGCTGGTAACGCATCCGACCTACAACGACTGGGCGCAGGCTCGTGCGCTTGCATCTGTTTTTTTCCCTTGAACAACGTGTAGCTAGCTTAGATAATATCAGAAGGACGTACATGGACACAAAGCTACGAAACCATTTAAAGGTGAATGCCAAAGCGCCTAGTCCAGAGTCCTCGACATCACTCACAGCTCCTTTGCTGCCGCTACCGGTTAAACATTAGCTATGCGTCCTGCTGCAGTGAAGGTCCTGTTAGAGGCCAGCTCAGCCTCCCCATGGACTTGCTGGGCCAAGAGCATCCTATAACCCGATCATAGAAACACAACTGCCCGAGCCAGAAGCCTCTCCAGCCTGCAAGCAGCGCATGGGTTTTAAGCTTGATCTCCCACTACCAAGTGGTACCTTTAGTGGCCTTAGTCTTCTTCGAGGTCACCAGATCTATATACGTATGTATACATATATATATGTATATATATATATATTTGTTTATTATTTATTTATTTATTTAATTATTTATTTATTATTTAGATTCATACACACATCTCCCTCTCGCTCTCTCTCTCTCTCTCTCTCTCTCTCTGTTTGTCTCTGTCTCTGTCTTTCTCTCTCTCTCTTTCTCTCTCTCTCTCTCTCTCTCTCACAGACACAAACACACAAACGCACACACACACACGCACACGCACGCACACCCATATAGTATAATGTAATATAGTAAAATGAAATGATAGTTCACTATATTATATCATATGTTATTGTATTAAACTGTTATGTATGTAGTATACTAGATGAATGTATATTATACTAGCTATGTTGTATTGTTTGGTATCTAAGATCTGTTTATATCATCTATACGTACAGCAATTTGTTGCATTACACAACATTCATATATTACTTACACTTGTATGAATTTTGACTACATGTTACAAGTTATATTACATGGTAGCATATTGGAGTATAGTTCTCATATGGTTTATCATGGTTTGTATCATATTGAATTTTAATACTTTGTATTTTTTCCTTATGCTATAACATACAGTACTATATAATGCTGTATCATATAATGTTTTATTATATTGTGCTGTGTTGTATTATATTGCGATATACTTTTTTTAATGTTTTTCTGCATTATTTCATTGTAGTTTATGTTTCTCTTTATACTGATCTTACATTGCCACAACAGTAGAATGCTTACACTGCAATGTTGCAATGTTGTAAGACTAAACCACTATAAAGTTTATAACATTACAACATTATAAGTCTGTTATGTCTTGTTGTGTGTATGTATGTATGCATGTATGTATGTATGTATGCATGTAGTGTATGTGTGTATGTATGTATGTATGTATGTATGTATGTATGTGTATGTATGTATGTCTATATGTATGTATGTGTGTATGTATGTACGCATGTACTTGTATATAATATGCATATATATATATTACACGTACATGGTATACATATATATATATATATGTATACACATACGCATACTTGCCTGCATACGTACGTATGTACCTACATGCAGAAAGACAGAAAGGCAGAGAGAACGGGTACGTGTGTATGGATGGATGCATGGATGTATGCATGTATGTATGGATGTATGTATCCATGGATGTACGCGGGGAGGGAGGGAGGGATGGACACACACACACACACGCACTTAATTATACACGCGCCTGTACACACACACATATATTTGTATATATATATATATATACATACATGTTTACTTATGTGTGTGTGTATATATATATATGTATACGTGTCTTTGTTTATGTTTTATGCACATTAATATGCATATATATATACATATTTGTTTATTTGTTTATCTAATTTTTTTTACTTATTTACTTATTTGTATACATGCCTGTGTATCTGCGAATGTGCTTGTATAAGAGTGTGCATACATCTATATATATATATATTTGTATATATAGGTGTGTGTGTGTAGGAATGTATGTATGTATGTATGTATGTATGTATGCATACTTTTCTGAGTGTATATATAATATAAATGTGTGTGTGTGCGCATGTATATAATACATTACGTTCGGTTAAGTTACATTCTTTACATACCAACTGCAGATGTGCTCTTGACCGTGATTGTCATGATGCTGTCTTAGAGCCTGCCTTATCAGCCCTATCACGTTGGGCATCATGATTTATCGTACTGCTGGGTATCTTGGACTTGCTGTTCATCGCAGCACCAGTATATATGCGAAACTTGTATTGTTGGTCACCTCAAAGGCCGTTATTGCACTGCTGCTACAATAAGACTTAGCAAGCATCAAACAGCATGCGCCAAGTTGCTCAGCATTTGGAGGTTCATGGGTCTGGTTTGGTCTCCTCTTCGACGTGGCGGCCTTGGTTCGCCTTTGAGGCGTGCAAGGCTGTTGGAAGGACACAAACACCGCAGGCTCCAAGGTTCAGAGCGAAAGGTCTGAGAGGGCCTTGTTCAGCACACTTTGCTTGCTTCGATTATGATTGTGTTGTGCTTGAGGCCAACGAAGCTCCAGGTGGTTGAAAACATGGATGCGCGAGACGTTGGCTACAATGCCATTGCCTGGAACCCAGAGGTTCCATTTCGCCTGATGCCATGTTCATGAGTTCGTGAAACTTGTTCAAAGTGTCTGGCCGCAAGGCTTGGCGATATCACCCCTGCAACCTGAGGTAGAAAAGCTAGCGTGTCCTCCGGACGGGTCTCTCATCCTGGTCTCGCGGATGGAGTCGGGGATCAGGCATCAAACAGACAAGTTCCCACCATGTCTTCTGTGCCCGGAGGGTTTTCGTGGGAGTTGTGGCTTTGAGCATTCAGCATTGCTCCTCAAGTCCGCGCCATCATCGTCACCCTCATCACTGTCGCTATTGTCATACATTACTGACGCTTCCGCTGATGTCAGTATGTTTTGATGATTTGCTTAGTCGCTGCACATCCAAGCCTCACTGCAGTTCTCGACTGAGCCAGCGCGCCACGAAGCCTTGGAAAATCCTTCTCATGAAGCCTTCATCGCCCAGGCGAAATTTGGGCTGCCAGTATCCGAAGCTTGGACTTTGTAAATACCTGCACGAGGTTGCAAACTGCAACAACAAAAAGTTCACGAGCAATGCATCGGCATTCGCGTACGAGCGAGTCTGAAGTATTAGGGTTTAGGGTTTAGGAGGTCGGGGGGAAAGACCTTCGGCTCATGCAATGCAGGCGGAGCTTCCCCGAGCTGGGGACAGGGACTTTGACAGACAGGTTCCCTGCGGAGGCGACGAAATCCAGGACAAAACTGCAGCATGTTCTGCCAGTCTTTTCCGGCTGCACTGGCTGCTGCATGGCTTTCAAACACACAACCAGTACTGCTACTACTACTACCACTACCACTACTACTACTACTACCACTACCACTACTACCACTACCACTACCACCACCACCACCTCTGCTACTGCGACTACTACTACTACTACTACTACTACTGCTGCTACTGC